GGGGGGGGCGGGGGTTGCTGGGGATGTAGCTCAACAATAGTACCACACAGGGTTCAATCCCCAGTACCAAGAAGAAGGCAGCAGGGAGGAGGAGACCATCTCAGGGAATCAGACGATAAAGTGAAAGGGATTTTCCTTTTCTTTTTTTTTAAATATTTATTTTTTTAGGTGTAGATGGACACAACACAACACCTTTATTTTTACATGGTGCTGAGGATCACACCGGGTCCGGCCCGTGCTAGGGGAGCACTCTCCACTGAGCCATAATCCCAGCCCAATTTTCCTTTTCTAAACTTACACTCACTATATCAAAAAGATAATTAACCTGGGCATGGTGGTACACACACCTGCAATCCCAGCAATTCAGGAGGCTGAGGCAGGAGGATCAGAATTTCAAGACCAGACTCAGCAATTCAGCAAGACCTTGTCTCAAAATTTTTAAAAAGGAAGGCTGGAGATGTAGTTCAGTGGTAGAGCACCCCTGGGTTCAATCCCCAGTACCAAAAATAATAATAATAATAATAATAATTAGAGAAGAAACAGGGGAGGGGGAGGAAAAGATGAGTCTAATCGAGGGGAGGTGAAGAGGTGGTTTCTATGGATGCTACCATCTAAAAAGTAGTATGCTCAGGGACAAGACTATATAAGAGGCTGGGGCAGTAGCTCAGCAGCGAGACTTGCCTAGCATGCATAAGGCACTGGGTTCAATCCTCAGCACCACATAAAAAATACACAAATAAAATAAAGGCATTCTATCTATCTACAGCTACAAGAAAAATAAAAAGATTTTTTAAAAGAATATATAGGATAGCTGGGGCAGCCACTAACTTCCAAGACAAATCAAGGTATTCAACTCATCTTGATTGCCCAATAAACTTTTCATCTTTTTCCCCCAAATATCCATCTTAAAAACCAAATAATTAGTCAGGTGCAGTGATGCATGCCTGTAACCCTAGTGGCTTGGTAGGCTGAGACACGAGAATCGCCAGTTCAAAGTCAGCCTCAGCACTGGCAAGGCGCTAAGCAACTCAATGAGACCCTGTCTCTAAATAAAATACAAAATAGGACTGGGGATGTGGCTCAGTGGTCAACTGCCCCTGAGTTCAATCCCCAGTGCAAAAACAAAACAAATAATTTAGAGCTGGGGGTGTAGCTCAGGGGTAGAGCACTTGCCCAGCATGTGCTAAACATTGGAGTCAATTCACAGGACTACCAAAAGTAAATAAATAATTTAGAACATACTAGTTGCCATTTCCCCAGATGTCCTTAGATCTGAATCAATTCCTATTTTGGCATCAACAATTAATTCACCAAATAAATCTTCCTGTAAGTTACAGGAACTAATCCTCAAATATTCACTGAGCTGCTGCTGTATAAGGGTATAGCACTTTGCYGGGCTGGCAAGAAATTTTAGATGCAAAATTGCAGTCATATATTGTAAGCCATATATTAAAATATTAAAACTGCAAGTGTAAAATAACAATTCAAAAGATGGCCAGAGGCAGGAATAGGCGATGTCTGTTATAAAAAACAGTGTGCTTGACCCAGTTTTTTAAAGACTTTCTAAAATTAACTGTCCCATTCCTCTACAATTAGGAATTAAACTCTGTATCCTGGACACATTTTTTTTTCCTGCTGCCACTTTCTTCCACCCTTAATTTCTAAATGTCGGAGTATGCTAGAAAGAGTGAATCTCAAGAGGATTGGAAATAAGTCTCAAAAGGTGCAGTAGCTTCCCATATAGGTACTAAAGAGCTTAGCAGTCTTGCACTGGGGTTGTGGCTCAGTGATAGAGCTCTTGCCTCACACATGCTAGGTGTTGATTCTCAACACCTCTTGTAAATAAATAAATAAAATAAAGATCCATCAACAACTAATAAAAATATTTTTTAAAAAAAGAGTTTAGTAGTCTTTACTTCATTCACTCATGCAAAAAAGTCTCTATTGTATGTGCCAGACACTATGCTAAGCAAAGTGAAAACGACAGATGTGGCCCGGGTTTTCGTGCAGCTTTCAACCTCAAAATCTTCAGTCAACTTTATACTTAAGAATTGATTAGGGTCTCAAAAAAAAAAAAAAAAACCAACTCAGAGAACCTCGGAATCCAAAAGGACTGTAAAGAGACAAGTGTCCATTTTTCACATGGGGACTTTTAAGCCCGAAAGTGTTTTGCCAAGGTCACACTTGAGCATCAGTGACAGGGACTAGAACTCAGGTCTTCCGCAACTCTAGTCAGTGCCCCTGGGCGCTCCTCTCCCTGAGCGGAAGTGGTGCCCGAGGAAAAGCAAACCTCCTCAAATAAAGGTCCACCGTCACTCTCTCCCTCCTTGAAAGAGGGAAAAGCGCAGCCCAAACCAGGGGTACGGAGAAGTGGAGAGCTGCCTCAGTTTCCCCGCAGAAAGGCGGCCACGCAGCCACGCTACAGCACAGGCTCCCCTCGTGCACATCCTTCCACATCCTCCCGCCCCGCCCTCCCCAGTTCCAAGCCGGAGACCCGGCAGGCCACCATAGAAAACTGCTCCTGCACTCACAAGGACTCGCACCAGCAACGCCATGTTCCTCAACAACCATTTCCGGGTGAAGGGTGGCCTTCCGGAATCCCCGCTGCCACCACCCCTTCACTACGTTCAGGGGTTTTTTTTGCGGGAGGGAGACAGGCAGCCGCGGCGCAGGCGCACAGGGGCGGCGCTCGCGCTGGCTTCTACCCAGTGGCTGTGCGCGTGGCTGTCGGGMCTGGCGCGCGCCGCCGTACCGGGTCTCTCCTTTCTTGGTTCCACGTCACAGTGGCTCAAGCCCTCCCCCCCAGCCGCCTCGTGGACCCCGGCCTTTCGCATCCCTCTCCTCCACCAGCTCCCCAGCCTCACGCCTCAGCAACCCCGGGCCAGAGCCATTCCCCTCCAGACTGAGTGACCAGCAGGAGCCCTCCCTTTCCATGGGGACGGGACAGAACAGGACATTGATTGGGGCTGGGGTTGTAGCTCGGTGGTAGAGCGCTTGGCTAGCACGTGTGAGGCACTGGGCACTGGCTTCATGGACTTCCTAACTGATAAGGGAGGTTTAGGAAAGTCTTGTCAAAAATAGAAACTGTGGGTAAGTGCTATGGAGGAAAAAATAAACTGAGGAAGTGACATATAAGATAATATCTAAAGGACAAGAAGAAGCTGGTCAAGGGGACTGACAAGGGTCCTGAGGAGGTCGCCCAGAAGGAGGTGGACCTCAACTGAGACCTGGAGAGTCCTTGATGTCGTCGCAAAGAAGGAATTTAAGGACAGGTCAAAATGAGGCACAGAATGAATTTATTGATGTTTTGAAATATGCATACAATGTGGAATGGCTATTAACTTATGTATTACCTAACTTATTTTTTGTGGTGAAAACACTTAAAATCTACTTTCTAAGTGATTTTTAAGAATATGATATACTGTTATTTTCTATAATCACCATGTTGTGCAGTAGATCTCTTGAACTTGTGTGTGTGGTATTGGGAATTGAATCCAGGGGTGATCTACCACTGAACTACACTCCCAGTCCTTTTTTTTTTTTTAATGTGTAGTAAATATGGTTTTTTTTTATTATTGATTGTTCAAAACATTACAGAGCTCATGATATATCATCTTTCATACATTTGACTCAATTGGGTTTTGAACTCCCTTTTTTACCCCAAATACAGATTGCAGAATCACATCTGTTACATATTCCCTTTTTTTTTTTTAAATAAGGTCCTGCTGAGTTACTAAGGCTGGCCTTGAACTTGCAATCTTCCTGCCTCAGCCTCTATGCCCTACTTAGCTGTCTTGAACTTTCCTTCTATCTAACTAAAATTTTGAAACCTTTTACCAGTATCTATCTCCCCAACATAAACAYTTTTATATGCCTGCTGGTCATTTGTATTCTTCTCTATGAGCTGTCTATTTTCAAAAATCCTTGGTAACCACCATTCTACTCTCCACTTCTATGAATCAACTATCTTAGATTTCACATATAAGTGAGATGACTTTGTATTTGCCTTTCTGTGCCTGGCTTATTTCTCTTAATAAAATATCTTCCTGGTTGTAGCAAGGGGGCAAAATTGTGACGTATGCAGTCAAGGGGAGAAATAAAGAATATCCACACGCTTCTGCCCCTTTCAATGTTTTATTCACTCAAATTACTCAATTTACAGTTTCACTCTTTAGATTCTTAATCAAGAAAACGACAATCCTTAATGCTAGGCACTGCAATAGACATAATCAATTCACAGCAAACAATTCTAGATTAATTCTAGGCATTGCAAAACACACTTAATCATGACAGGCTAATGACAGATATTCCCTCTGTTTGCTAAGTTCAAAAGTCTCAAGCCTTAGGCTTTATGTCCAGCAGATGCACACTCACTTAGACCGAAGTGATCAGGTCCAGAACCAAGGCAGGCTTTTCCTGGCATGGAGTGGATGACCAGTTGAGGAGAGAGGGTCATAGGGAGAAGTTGTGGCTCTCACCAGGGTCCAGAAGAGGCCATAGAGTTTGAGAGTGGTGAGGATCATGCAGAGGATTAGGAAGGATGACAAGTGATGGGATGTCAGGTCCTCATCAAGCTCTCCAGCTCCAGGGCACCCTTGTTTCTGCTGGCTGAATCCCTGTTCATTTGCTCTATTATACTAAATTTGTTCTATTATCCTAAAATTTTTTAAGAGAGATAATTTTAATATTTATTTTTTAGTTTTTCGGTGGACACAACATCTTTGTATGTGGTGCTGAGGATCGAACCCGGGCCGCACGCATGCCAGGCAAGCGTGCTACCGCTTGAGCCACATCCCCAGACCCAATTTGGGGGCTTTTGACCTCCCTTTTAATCCTTATCAGCCACCCCTATTGAATTATTTAAGTTCCTTATATATTTTGGGTATTAATCCCTCATCAGATGTATAGTTTGAGAATATTTACTTACATTCCATAGGTAGTTTCTTTATTCTGATTTTTTTTTCCTTTGCTGTGAAAAAGTGTTTTAGATAAGCCAGGTGCAGTGTTGCTTGCCTGTAATCCCAGTGACTCAGGAGGCTGAGGCAGGAGGATCACTACTTCAAAGACAGCCTCAGCAACTCAGCGAGGCCCTAAGCAACTTAACAAGACCCTGTCTCAAAAATCAAAAATAAAAGAGGCTGGTGATGTRGCTCAGTGGTAAAGCTTCCCTGGATTCAATCCCCAGTACAAAAATAAATAAATATATTTCCCAAACAAATGTCATGGAGCCTTTCCCCTTCTAGAGTTTCGGCTTGGATATTTATGTCTTGTCTAACATAGTACAGTTCATGTTAGATAAGCACTGTATCATTGTGAGTTGATTTTTGTATGTGGTGTGAGATAAGAGTCTAATTTCATTCTTCTGCATGTGGATATCCATTGTCCCAACACCATTTATTGAAGAAACTGTTCTTTCCCCATTTTGTGTTCTTGGCATCCCTATCAAAGATCACTTGACAGGGAGTGGGGCATGTAGTTCAATGGTAGCACCTTTACCTAGCATGTGTAAGCCTTCAATTCCCAGCACCTCAAAAAAAAAAAAAATGAAGCCATCCATGGTGGTATATGCCATAGTCCCAGCTACTCAGGAGGCTGAAGCAGGAGGATGATTTAAGCCCACAAGTTTAAGACCATCCTGGGCAGCATGGCAAGATCCCATCTCAGTTGACTATAAATATATGGATTTATTTCCAGGGTCTCTATTCCATTCTCTCTATTGGTCTAAGTGTCTAAACACATGCAAATATTGGGAGGTTAGAGAGGGAAGGAAGATTCTAAGATAAGAATCCTGAGGTGAGAAATGTTGGGTTTTTTTTATTTTTAGTGCATAAAATTGTTTTTGTTTTTATACAAAATATAAAGATGTTGCCTGTTAATCTTCCATTTGAAGGATTTTATAAGTCTAAATGAAAATACTTTCTATACACAATTGGGTAACTTGCATGTGCAATATTAGAAACCAACGATGTAGTGCTTCTATACATAAATTAGGATAACTTTCACTGCATATTAAAGGGGAATAAAAGAAGCATTCTAGTTAATCAAATTAAAGAAGCAAAGTGACACAAAAACTACTTTATTTTATCAGTTTTTTTCTTTGCTATAGTGAAATACCTGAGGCAAACTAACTTTGTAAAGAAAATAGTTATATGTAGCTCCTGTTTTTGGAAGCTCAAGGACATGGTGCTAGCAGGCATTGACTCAGTTCTAATGAGGGCCCTCTTGGCTGTGTCACATCAAAGTGATGGCAAAGACAGAAACACATGCAGGATCAAGTGTGGATACAAGCAATCCCATTGCCAAAGGGAAGCCAGAGAAAGCCAGGAGGGAACAGATTCAGACTATATAACAGCACTGTTTTGAGAACAACTTTTATCACTTCCCAGTGGCAGAATTCCCAATTGACCTAAGGACCTCCCAGTAGGCCTCACATTTCAAAAGTTCCAAATCATCTCCCAATACTGCCACCCTCGGGACCAAGCTTCCAATACATGAATCTTTGAGAGACATATCCAAACCACAGCATATACAAATAAACCTATTTCAGTAATATGCACAAGAGATAATGGACTAAATGTTGGAGACTAGAGAAAAGGTTGATATGTAATTTCCTTTCTGATGGCTTTGATTTTCTCTGTGAACTGGGATAGGGGAGAGAGTTTTCCTATTCAAAAGAATGCAGATGGTGTGGAACTGTAATTTAGAAGAGTAGTGAAAGTTTAAAGTTCAACAGAGAATAAAAATAAAGGGGTCAGAGGCTGGAGTTGTGGCTCAGTGGTAAAGCTCTTGCCTAGCACATGTGAGGCACTGGGTTTGATCCTCAGCACCACATAAAATAAATATATGTATATAT